GTGTGTCCGACCAGGACAGCCCTTCACGATATGCTAGTATATTGTAGGACAGGGGATGTATATATAGTAGCTTCGTGCTCATATGTGTATTTGCATGCTAATACTAGCTTGCTTATGCCTATATTTTATATCGGCGTGGCAGTGTCATTTTTAGGCATCGTATATAATGGTGTACGACGTTGCGCTGGAGATAGACATTCGGTGTATACGTGCGACGCCCACGTGTCCTTTTATACGTCATCCATTTTGTTAAAACCGTTCACGTTATTTCAGGTCCGCGGCTGTATGCTCAATGGATCAATTGTATTGCATAATTTAATGAAGTATTATCAGAATACGGCTTGAGCTCCGTGCTCCCCTGACCAGGATAATCAGTCACAAGGTAGGTGAATGGATTATTGGAGTACGTATTATATTTTGGAAAATAAGTATGACGTGATTATAAATAGATTATATATACAACGTACCTATAAAAATTATATCAGTATAGGAGGGTACATTTTGTGAATTAGGTGATGCATGTTTTGTAATGTAAGTATGGTAATGAATATTGTATAGGTATTAAATATAATTTGAAACTTACACGCAGTGCACATGTTAAGGCAGGAAAGAGTCACTGAGTGTCTATGTGTGACACACCTGTTCCCTTATACCCGTGGTCCCATGATGTCATTGGCATTACACAGTGGGGAACAGCTTGAGCTGCGTGCTGCGATGCTTCTTCATGTGACATGACACCGTCCTGCAGGTGTCGGCAGAGGTCATTGGACAGTGACGGGATGCAGTGACATTCAGCTCACATGATGTAAGGCGACCGCCTGACCTTCCTCGCCACAGATGTTATTGAGTCTGACAAGTGTATTACTGGGATCTTCACTCCAGTACCTTTTTCGCCAAGGACACTCTACAGCAGTGTTTCCCAGCCCGGCTAGGGAGCAAAAATGTGGACTGTCTGGCAGGGAGCAGGGAGGGAGCAAAAACATGAATCGGCTGTGGGTCCCCGAGGACTGGATTGGGAAACGCTGCATTACAGTAAGAAAGTCACCGTGACGATCGAGTGACTAGAATGACCCCAGAAGTGCCTTGTCTTTGTAAAAGCAAAAAGGTTCTAGGGCTGACTGACAGCCAGCTCTATCCCACACGCCGTAAACAGTGACTGTTTTTCCTCTGTAATGTAATGTGTAATGCCACTATAAAAACCATCCCGCAACCTGAGACATAGACTACACCAAAAAGCACTTTCAGAGTTATAGTCTATGCAGCAATTTAACTTGACAGTTAACTGAAGGGCATTAACATTTTTATGGGATATATCCTTTTTTCTGTAAAGTTAAAGCTACTCTTAGAGAATCTCATAAACCTCTATGTGCTTCTGTTTCCCGTCATGCAGAATGATGTGAAACATATTTACAATCTGAACCTAGCCCTGCACACAAAGGAATAATGTGGTACACAATGGTTGTGAAGCTCTTAATGACAGGACAGCTGTCTGTCCTTACGCAGCTGGTATAGAGTAAAACTTAATCAACCACCTGAATATTCCTTCATGTATATTCTTCATTCTGCATATTAAGAACTTATTAACTGATGTGGTAGTGCTCAGATTAAATAAAACAAGGTCAGAAAAAGTGTACAATCTGTCTTGGAATTCATTGTGAACAGATTTCCTTGTGGTTGAGATGCAAAGGAAATGAATGGAAAAGTCATACCTGTCTCCAAAAATAACCATTATCAAATATAAATATAAAGTAATTATCAAAGGGCTTGCCCATTGTCACCAGCGTGGTTCCGCCACGCCCATCGTTACCGTCGTAATCTCCAGCCTGCCCCCAGCCAAAATAACGGATGAGTTGTCCAAATGGAGAAGTGGAGAGGATTTTGGCTGGTAAGGTCAGTAAACAAAGCCTGCCTTTATGTCCAGTCACAGCTTTTTATTCTCTTTAATTTGAATAAAATACAGTATTACTACTGTGGCCTGATCTGATGTGATAGGATTTAAATTTTGTCATCAAATACAGTTCCTTTGAGTTTTCATGTGACATTTCTCCTTCCTAATAGAACTGACCGTATATGGTGGAAAATGCTTAAAATGGGCAAAACTTTTTGGTTACTGGTGGTGGTGGGAGGTGAAGCAAGATTCATTTTCTTAAGGAATAAGGAGTTGGGCTTGAATCCAACCCCAAATTCAGACATTTAAGTGCGTTTATTTAGCAGTTTTGTCCAAAGAAATGTGCAATAGGGGATGAAAGAACAGGGTAACTGTAGCAAATGGGGTTAAAGGCCTTGCTTAAGCGCTCAATGGTGAAATCACTCTGCTGACCAGGGGACTGGAACCAACAACCTTCCAGTTATGGGCACAGCATCCCAAACCACAGAGCCGTACACTTTTCATGACTATAAGTTTATGTAGGTGACTATAGCAGGACAGGGTAAAAATAATATAGTCACATATCTCTGTCCAACCATACGTAAAAAAGAAGGTTGAAATGTACGTTTTTGTACTTGCAGGCAGTTATTTACCTTAATTTAGAAGTCTGACTTGGTGAATTAATTTCAGCCGCATCACAATACCAGTCATTGCTATTAAATACAAAATAAAGGGACTGATAAATACAGAAATCTGCTCATTCTACTGCGTCATCTGTGAGTTAAATAGGGGTTCCACATGCCTTAGTACTCGGACCATATGTAATTCTTTGAAAAAAGTATATTATTTATAGAAATATTATACACGTGCATTTATCTGCAAGATATGATGATCCTATGACTGTAGCCTTTAAACTAAAGACATCAGCTCACTTTAGGTATCCTCGATGTTTACAAGATGTGTTTGCTGTTGCTTAGAAGCCCCCAGAAAATGAATACAAGTGCTCATGTATAGTAGAGCGGTGTAGTTCAATACCACCTTTCAAAGGGGGAAAATCACACCCCCTGCACTCCGCAGTAGATTCAAATGGGCTACAGCATGAAATAATACAATTCAGAAGCAGCACGGGCGCTCGCGGGCCTCTTCCCTGGCTCGTGACTCTCCCTGTAAATCACAGTGCACCGAACAGCTTGGCGCCCACTTATCTGACTAAACTCATTTGCATGCGCGAGCCGGAACGTACTCTTTTAAAATCAACACTGAAGACCTATTATTTTAGTCTAATCTACCCTAATTAGAGCTACTGCTGCTACTGTACAGAGTGCCATGGTATCGCCTATTGCCAGTGCATGCATCTGTTCTCTGGCTACTTCACCAGCCCTCTCCCAAATCCCACCCACAGCACTAACAACGGTGAGCTTTCTGCACAAACAAGTCGGTTTTATTGTCATCTCGCACACGTGAAGCGAGATTGCGTTTCTGTGGATCATCGGGCAGCTAGAATAAAGGGCAGTTGAACAATAAACACTGAACAATAAAAACTGGATACAAAAATACACAACAATGACTCGGTGCAAGTAAACAGTATGTGCATATAGACAGCTGTCACCTCTTTTCCAGTGTCTCTGGATTTTCCCACGTCATAATAATGATTTATTTATTTATCATCATTATTGTTGTTGTCGCCGTCGTATTTCCTGGCTTTACTGTAAAAGAACCGGTGCCATTCTATAATAAACTTAATGTATAATTAATTGATATTAACAGTTGTAGAATCTTTACAGACCTTCGCGTCCGTCACAGAGGTACATTTAGACCTTTGGGATAAAGTACGTTTACAGTGCTGTATAAATTTAAGCGGCGTGTACTTTCAACGAAGCAACTGCATGCCCTAGTATTTCATTTTAAATGTGCCGCATTAACCAAGATGACAGATTAATTTGCCGCTCATAGGTGAGAAATGAACCTGCGACAAGCAACGATTACACCAGTATTACTCAAAGCTCATTGGAAGTACATTCCTTTAAAAAGACGCCGTGGGCGCCGCAGACCAAAGCGATATACTGCACTGCAGAGACAAGGAGCCACATCCCACATCAAACAACTTTATTCCCCAGATATCTGCCACTTTCCCCCTTTATGTGCGCAATAGCCAAGAGGAAAGGCTTTTAGGATAATAAAGAGAGCGACAGATTTGAAGATTACAGTGAAACTTTTTCAGCTGTTTCCCCCCAACTTGCATCAAAAACAGAGGGTGTGCCGGTCACACAGAAACGGCTCATGGGTCCAGCCCACTAAATACTTAATACTGCAGGAATAAGAAGCCGAGGTCGGCAAACAGCGGACTCGCAGATGGGGGATCGGCTGCGGTGATCGCCCCTCGCCCGGCGATGCTGCATGGCTCTGCCGGCCGTCTTCGCTTTAAAGCGGTCACCCCGTGATGATGTGTGCACACCCCGCCTCTTCCCAGGCGATGCTGTAGCGCTGTCAATTTCTATTATAAGAGGAACAGTTGAGAAAAGGGAAGGGGAGGGAGGGAAGGGGGGGATAGAAATCCGGAGAGGGGTTTGCGGGGCAGCGCAGTCAAAACACCCATGGGTGGCTGCGTGGGCAGTCACCATGACTCTTCGGGAAGCCTGAACGAAATTTCAGACGGAACTGGAGGTAGGAAATAGGCCGTGTGCGCCGACGGGTCGCTAACTGAGTCCGGGACTTAGGATGTCGGGGCTTTTGTGTGCGGTTCTGCGATCGGTGTTGTTATCCGCGCCGTGCCTCTTGTCTTTCGCCCCCCCTGCCTCGATCGCAGTCGCTGGGGCAGTGGAGGCTGTGCTGCCAGGCGCTCGCCTTGGGGCCTCCTGCTCCTGATGTTGGACGTGCCGCTTCGGGGAGGAAAACGGAAAAAAAAGAAACCACGCGATCCACGCCGCTTAACATCCCCTTGTGTCTTTGCTCTCCCTCAACCCCCCTCCATAAGCATTAGGTCCGCCGTGCCTTTGCCTGGGTGCATGAATTTGGGTCACCGTAGTGGGTTTAGGGGATGCGATCATGCGATCATGGTGGTTCGGTAAATAAAGTGAATCACGCATTGTTACTGTATCATGGACCGGAGGTAAAGTAACTTTTTTTATTATTATTAATTCCCATTCTCGCAGCACGCTTCTTGTTGTTCTTACGAATAAGGATGGTGGGGGAAGGGTGATCGTATCTCTTTTGCACGGCCGCAAGTAAGTCTTGAGTAGGTCTATTTAAAGCCGCGATGTCTGCTTTGACCGGCCGATAGCGCTGCGTTTGTCTTTCCTTGAAAGTGGAAGTGAAAGTGCTTCAGGAAAACTAGAGAGAAAAGCGACCGTTTAAAACAGAAATGGGTACAGAAAACTGTTGGGGAAAAGTTGATAGGAGCTGCCGGAGCTGGTTGCAGGGTTGCATTGCTGCTGCGCTTGGGTGTGTGCATGTGTGCATTTACTGCAGGTGACCGCCTTGGCTCTGTGTCGAAGTGATGGCGACTTATTACTTAAAGAAAACAGTCCGATCGGTTCCTGGATACAGGGACTGTGGAGCCTGTGACTATGATGTGTTGTGGGACAGCGTTGTTGTTGTTTTTTTTTGTCATATTGTTTATCAGTCGTCTCTTTCTTATAGTGAAACTGCAGTTATGCTAGTCATCCAAGGGAAGACATTGTAGGTTTAAATGTAGCATCCCCTCCCCAAAAAAAAAAAAACAATAAATAAAATAGTTACCCTGAAATGGGCCGTATCTATACAGTATTGCTCTTGTATTTAGATCTTCAGAACTTTAAACACTGAATAGAAGCGCAGGCATCTGTGCAACCGCGCACAAAACGTGAACAATTGAGATTGGCTTCGCAGTGCTCGCTCAAGCTCTCGGCCTTGGGGCTGGAATTAAAATGATATATCCAAGCCCTCCGTACACGTTACCAGCAAGCCAGGCGACATCCTGCAAGTAAATTGGCCTGCTTTGTGATAGGCAAGAAGGATGTTAACTATGCAAAGACGACTATTTCCTCTCCATTGGGATATCTGTTCTGCTTACATTCTAACGAATGCGCTTGTTCTGCGTCTCCAGGAAATATTCTGTCATTTAGCAGTAAATGCTGACTTTGTTGTCTGTGTAAAATGGATCCAGGTGTTTTCCACTGCCTGAATGGCCCCAAAGCGCTTAACAAAGAATCAGACACTGGGTTTGTTCAGTATTGTTTGCATTCGTTTGGTCCTGTCTGGACACCTGCAGTAATCTGATATTCTTATCTTCCAGGCTTAGTACGTTTGTCCAGCAATCATGTCTTATGTACCCATTTTTAATAAACAGTTATGTGAGACTGGGTCATAGGCAGCCTGAGGTCTATACCAGCCGGCTCGGCGTACACCCAGAACAGGATGTTGGTCCATTGTATGGCTGACAGACATCAGTACTCGCTGCAGACAATGTAGAGACAATAACCAGTCTTTATACTCTGGGAGGAAATTCGCCCACACGTACACACGCAGCCGGGGCAGGAATCGAACCCGCAACCATGGAGATGTGAGGTCACATTGCTCTCCAGCGAATCATATGGATCATCTGTCACCGCTGCAAGTGAGCCTTGCATCTGCACTGGGGCTTTTTGCATCGTTTTGCTGTCTTAGGGAAGCCTTTCCGGGGGGTAGCGTGGCGGAGCTCGGTCTTCCGACGACCTGTGCATTCTCCAAAACAGTGTTTCTCAGCCCAATCCTCAGGAACCCCCAGACAGTCCACATTTTTGCTCCCCCCTAGCTCCCAGTGCACCTGTGCCCGGCATTCGGCATCCATGATTGGCTGGGACCTGGGAAGGAGCGAAAATGTGGACTGCTGAAGGTCCCCAAGGACTGCCTTGAGAAACTCTGCTCCAAAAGACATTTTGATAATATCACATTTTTTTTCTGCAGGGTCGCGTGTTTTCTGTAGATCTTAAAAAAAGATCCCTCGGAGCGCTGCGACTCCTTGGATTCCTTGTGGAAATTCCCTTCAGAAATTCCCCTTTCATTTTCCCTCAATACTACGGCTGCCTCACAGTAATGTTACATGTCGAGTGTCAGATATTCTTACATTTTCCTTAATTCTTTTCCTTTTTATTTCTTCATTTCCAGTATTGAATCTTATCCATAAAGGACGCTAAAACTTAGCTGAAAGATTATAAACTTAAGGTAAAAGTCCCCTGAATACCTCATGCCCATGTTTTATCGAAAATAGTTTTGTGTACTTCCATATTTTTTTGTTTGTTGATCCTCACCTCCACGCGCAGATCTCTTCAGTTTAAACAGTGATTTGAATTTTCTTGTACTGCAAATGAAAACAGGAAGTCGGGACAACCCCCACCCCACCATCTTATTTTGGTCAAGCTAGATGTATATTCATGTATTTACAAAAGCATGTGAGAGTCCTCTTGCACCACGGCTTGACCACAATGGCGGAACTAGTTAGGGAGCGTGTTAAAATCACGCAGTCGGGGCACCATCTGGCAGCTTGTTATTTGAATGATTACAGCCTCTGGTCAGGTTGCTCTGGGAGAAGGAGAGAGTGGGAAGATGAGCAGAGGCAGAAAGTGACCGCGCTGTGGCAGAGGAAGTGATGCATGTGTGATTTTTCAGGTGCGGTGGTGGGGTGGGGTGGGGGGGGGGGGGGGCGCTTCGATGGCTGCCAGGCCTCCTCCGGTGACAGTTTGTCTCCCCATTTGGCTCGTCTGCCAGAGTGGCGTGGCATCGTCCCCAGCTGCCACCCAGCTCTGGGAAGGCTGGTGGCATAGGACAGCAGATTTGCGAAACGTTCTCTGCGCCTCGACGCCCTTTGCCCGTGTCCCTGACCGCGGCCCTTTTTTCTGCGTCCTGGGATGTGGGCTGATAAATAGGCAAAATTCCTTCAGTAAGCCTGCTGCACCCTCTGTACTCTTGTGCCGGTATATAGGGGATTCCGCTCCCTTCCAGAGCGATATACGGTGCACGGACGTCGACTGAATTCACACCGTAGTCACGCATTTCTTTAAACGCACGCCTTTTGCGACTGTATGCCCGCGGCTGGAGTGCATTTCCCCTGCTTCCCGCGGCTGACGGAAGCGGCGGGCTCCTTGACGAATTCCCGTCCAGATGGCGCTCATTTGGGATTCTGGTGGGAAAAAAGAAAAAGAAAGAAATGAATTTGCATGTTTCGGTTCTGTGAAAACATCCCCGGGTGCCTTCTGAAGACGCCGCGCAAAGAAGCAGATTCGGGACAGACGGTGCTTGGGATTTGAGGGGTCCTGTGAAGTCTGACATTTTATGGACTACATGGTTCGTACACCCACATTTTCGCAGACTGCTAACGTCAAATATACCACCGTTTCTTTTTTGTATACGTTCTTTTTTTTTTCAAGTGTTGACCTATCTTACCCTGTGTCTAATCACAGCACTGTGCCCTCTGTACAGACCGAGCCTTACAGCATTTGGGGCAGTGTTTGGCCCTGTGGGTTAGCATGCTGTACGTAAAATCGGAAGGTCGCTGGTTTAAATCCCCTCGTCGGCAGGGTCATTTCACCTTGGTTGTCTAATTGCCCATCGCATTTGTTAAGCGCGTCTAATAGACACGTGTAATATGAATAACGTTTCATCTTTCACAAACACGCCAGTTCTCTGTTAGCCTGTGCTAGGATTCCTGTTACTGGGACTGGGAAGGTCACCTTAATCATGGCACTTTTAATTGTCCTCGTGTGGCTTCTGTCTCCATTAATACACACGCATGAGCCACTGGTGACTTTGTGTCCGCAGTACTGCTCGCATCGAGCGAGTCTCATTCCGGGAAACATCGATTTCAGTCCAGAAGTGGGAGGAATTACATTAGTTTGGCTGTACTGGGCGGGGGAGAGTGACTCGCTATGTCTGACGGTCCGACGTTTCAGGAGAAGGTTAATTAACAGCCTGGTTAAGGATTCTGGGAAAGTTGCTGCTGCATTCCTGTCCCTTTCTGAGAGGGGTAAACACAATCGCCTTCAAGCCGCTGCTGTGGATCCAAGCGCCAGTGTTTCCAGTTTAATTCTGGCATTGGCCGCGAGCTTTTATGCGATTAAGCGCTGGTCTTTGGGAATCTGTGATACCCCCAAAGGCCACCGGAGGCAGCGGTCCGGAGTCAGCCCTGGGACCAATCAGATTGGTTCTCAGTTCAACTGCCATGACCTTAGTGGATACATTAAGACCCCAGAACAAAAGCAGGCAGAAGGATAGCAGTTTGTATCGTGTGTGTTCCTTGTTTCCTTTGTACAGGGAAGGCATAAATGTTTATTTTCTACACTAATTTGTCTGTGTCACCATCTTTGGTGCCACAGGAAAAAGAAAGTGTGGACTTTGGTGTGAGGGGAGGATACAGACCCTTTCCTGTCCTCAGCACCAAACGGCAGCAGCTGTCGGAGTGATTTATCGTTTCCTCACTCTACCTTTGTGTTTCATGTTGTATTTTCTTCCTCCTCCTTGTGCACGTCAGTCACGGATCGAGGCCCGTGGTTCCGAGCTGAATTATTAACGTACGTTGGTCGTAGCGTCGCTCGCCAGGGCCCGGTGAGAGCGTCCTGCGGCTTTGTGGCTGACCAGGTAGCGCTCCGCAGGTCTCAATAATTAATCGCCCGCTACCTTCCTGGCCAGTAATGGCCGTCCCCGACTGCCAATCCAGACTAGCCAATCCGAGGTCCCGTTCTGTCCTTCTGTGCTGCTGGCAGCCACGCTAGCATTTCAATGTCCTTACTAATTCATCCTAATTCTCTAGAAGATTCCGTCTGAGTCAGAAAACAGGGGGGGGGGGTTGGTGTTCTGTGCTTCTCACCAGCCTGCTATTGTTACAGCATGTCCCAGATAAAAAGCTTTCTCTAATGGCTGCCAGATGTTTCCCCAAAACGTATGTTTTTTTTTCTTCCCTTTATTAGGGTCCTTCTGGGGTGAAGGCTGACTGGCAGTTAGGTCCTTGCAGATGAACCTGACCGGCTCTTATGCGCTCGATGTATTGATTTTTATTGTGGCTCACTGCCTGGTTTCCCCATCGCCCATCGCCTTCTCAGGCCTTGTTATTAACCCCCGAAACACAGGCGTCGTCCCTCTCAGATTTTGGTTGAGCATGTGGAGAGAGTAGCTTTCCCCTTCTGGGACATTCCTGTCAGCATCGCGTGCATTGTGTGTATTTAGCTCTGGGTGGGATGGCTTGCTTGTTCTGTGAGGAATGAGAAGCTTGGTCTGCCAGTTCTCACCCAGGAGCGTAGCATGAGCTTTTCATGGGTGAGGGAGGGGCCTCTCTCTCTCTCTCGCCCTTTCTCCCTCTCTCTCATTCCCGCATACAGATCCGCACACTCACAGTGTTACACTTACCGTTGACCCGGAGCACCGCTAAGATCTTCAGACCCTGGCTCTCAAGCTGAGAGTGTGGTTGTTAAAACATCTGAGCTCAACAAATCATTCAGGGCATTGTAATGCCTCTGTTGGTGACCCTCGATTTAAATTAAATTATTTTTACCCCTCGGCAAAAAAAAACCCCCCACAAAGGATGCATAAACACGGGCGCGGCTGAACGCCGTGCTATCTGGCTGCCTCTGAACACTACAGGAAACGGCCAGGAACAGCAGTTATTCCTGCGTGGTGCTGTTTCAGGGGTGATACGGAAACAGGAAACATGCTAATGAAATAGCATTGCTGAGTGACAGTCCGCTGACCTTTCAGCGCTGGCCGGAGCTTTAATTAGGCTGAAGTGTGTAGAGTAAAGTATATTCACATAGTACATGTAATATGTGACATATAGTACATAGTACAGTGGAGTATAGTAAGTATAGTACATAATAGTACATAGTAGAGTAAGATATTGTACATGGCACAGTGCAGTATAGTACATAGTAGAGTAAGATATTGTACATAGTACAGTGGAGTATAGTACATAGTAGAGTAACATATTGTACATAGCACAGTGGAGTATAGTAAGTATAGTACATAATAGTACATAGTAGAGTAAGATATTGTACATAGTACAGTGGAGTATAGTACATAGTAGAGTAACATATTGTACATAGCACAGTAGAGTATAGTAAGTATAGCACATTATACAGTGCAGTAAAAATACTGGTGAGGAAAAAGGAGGAAAGCGTTGATTGGCGGTGATAAATCCTGATCCTCTCTCTCTCTCTCTCTCTCTCTCTCTC